GATCTCTGACTAAATCAGCAGATTCCTTTGTCGGCGCATGGGCTACTATGACAGTGAAGTGACCATGCCAATGTTTAAGACGTACAATAAGTAGTCGAGAAGACATGGGTGTCCAAGTTATCAAGGAGGACTTGGCCTTGCCTCACAGTAGTAATGCTACCCCATGTAAGTGGTTAGGATCACCAAAATACAGAAGTAATGAATCTCTCACCTTGTTGTGTCCATGATCTATCAGCCTTGCTTCTGTTAGGCCTGCAATTGATATGCCAAGACGGTCCATTTCGCATGAGATAATGACCTGATGACCACGTCTGTAAAGAATTGCAATATTCCAGGTTGCAATTTTGATGGATTGGCAGAGATCCCAGCTACGATTGAATACGTTGTCACAGTATACTGCAGACGCGCCTGCTGACATTACAGGACATGTCCCCGGGGGGGCTTTGGCGCGAGCCCATCACAAGTGCACTAGAGGAAGATGGCATCAACAGGGCATTATAAACTGAGAGTAGAGCAGTGGTTTTAACCCCAGTGCTGAGTGCCGAGTTACTCACATTGATCAAAACCAAGAGCAAACGATTGTCCCAAAGAATACCTTGCCCCAGGTATTGAGACGGAGGCACAGTAATGCAAACCTTTTCCCGGTCTACCAGTACTGCGTTCACAGTATTACACCCGAGCTGTTGAGTCTTTCTCAGCAATTTCCTTCATCTCAGGTAGCTAGGTGCAGCTCGTGCCCTGCATCTTTCCCACCTGTATTAGCCATCATTTTCAGGGTTCTCGCTGGACCGGTTCACCTTGCATAATGCCCAAAGTGATATTTTGGACCAGCCTTCATCGCTGATGGCATACGTGTCACAAGCAATCCCCTACTTCAGATGTTACACCCCTGTACCAAATGAGGTACAGGTCAGACTTGGGGGCTCTAGGCTGCCAGTTTGAAGACTAAAGTGGCTGGAAGGTAGATTTTTCCATTTAACCTTTTGTTGAAAGCTGGACTCTGTGACAGTAGTGTAGTCCTGCAACACACCTCAACAAGAATTGGCTGTCTGAAGAAATTGACTGGGAAGCCTATATCAACTCATGTGGTGGAAATGAAATGTTGCAACAGATGTGCACAAACCAAGCATTTGTAATGGCTGAACTTTCTCTTGCTGTATGCAAACCAAGAATGCACACAGTAATGAGAGTAAAGTGGAATGTGATACATTAACATATTTAGTAATGATTGTGCAGCTTAGCAGGCTGTAGTCCCATTAACTAAGCCAGGAGTTTGGAACTCCATCTGTCTGTGAAAGGTATGTAGTTCTGCAGTTTGTCAGGCAACTGGAGAAACTTAAAAGGTGGTCAGTAACTATAGCAATACTCCACAACAGGTTGTGCATTAGTAGGCTGCTAGCCAACAGCTTAGTTCCATCAGCAAAGTAGTGCACCAGTAGCCCACTGATATATACCCTGGCTTTGTTATTATTGTTATTTATTTAAAGAGTCAACAATGTACTTGGCTCTGTATAATACACAAAATGCAGATGGTCCCTATCCCAAAGAGCAGAGGATGGAATGGGCAGGATTCTTGTATTGTTAGAAGTATTTTCTACTGAACTGCTGGCTCTTTACTGACTACTCGGTTAATGACCAGTGCAACACAGAGCTTCATAATTAGGGCCCTATCAAATTCATGATTCACTTTGGTCAATTTCACATGTTTACATCTGAAATTTCAAGGTGTTGCAACAGTAGGATTCCTGATACAAAAGGGGATCATGGGGGGGGGAGGGAGGGGGTCGTCCCAAAGGTGTTATATGGACATTGCAGGATTGCCATACTCATGTCTGTGCTGCCGTCAGAGCCCAGCTCTGAAGGCAGCAGGTGTGGCGTTTCCTGCAGCTGGAGGAGGTTCCCGGAGGTGAAGGTAGATCTGATCTCCCCAGTGCTGCTGGCAGCGCCCCAGACGAGAGCTCCTAGCTGCTAGTCAGGGCCAGTGGTGGATTAATGTATAAGCCTATGGGGCCCTGTTCCCAAGGGCTCCGGACAATTTGAAAAACGGGTGCCCCAGCACTGGCAGGAGCTGTGGGGGCTGAAGCCCTGAGCTCGGGCTCCCCGAGCCCAGGCAGGAGCTGGGAGGGGAGGTGGAAGCCCTGAGCCTGGGCACCTGGAGCCCCTGTTGGAGCCACGGGGGATAGGGGGTAGAAGCCTGGAGTTTGGGCAGGAGATGGGGGGGGGCGCAAAACCCCTTGTCCCAGCTGGAGCTGTGGGGGGTGGCAGCTCCCAGCCCAGGTCCTTGGCAGGAATCATGGGGTGGAAGCCCCAAGTCCCAGCTGGAGCCGTGGGGGCCAGGGGCAGCAACCCCAAGCCTGGGCGCCCAGAGCCCAGGCAGGAGCCACAGGGGCAGGAGAACAGACTCCCAGGAGCTCAAGCGCCCAGAACCTGAGCAGAAACTGCAAGGGGGGACAACAGCAGCCCTGGAACTCGGGCGTCCTGAGCTCAGGCAGG